CACGGAAACTATTCGGATGACTCAGAAGGCTTTCAGGGATGATGCAGTGAGTGCAGCACAAATAAGAGTGTGACACAGACACTTCAAAGATAGTTGAGATCTGTTGACAGTGATCCATGTTCTGGAGGGCCTGCAACAAGCAGAAAACCTGAGACTGTTGAACATACACAAGCTTTGATCAACAAAGATTGGCAACCCAGGTGACTCAGCCCCCCTGTAGCCCAGATTTTGTGCCCTGCAACTTTTGACTTTTCCCAAAACTAAAATCACATTTGAAAGGGAAGAGATTTCAGACCCTCGATGAGATTCGGGAAAATGGGACCAGGCAGCTGATTTCGATTGGGAGAACTGTGTGAAGTCCCAAGCTGCCTACTTTGAAGGGGACTGAGGCATCATTGTTCTACGTACAATGTTTCTTGTATTTTGTATTTTCTTCAATAAATATCTCTATTTTTCATATTACATGGCTGGATACCTTCTGGACAGACCTCTTAATCAGCTATGAAACAAGAAATGGAACCCCCCAGGTCTATTATTAAAATCAAATAGCAAGGTACAGAACAGAGCTACCTGTGAAAAGGGTACTATGAGAAAGTAAGTTCATCTTTGGCTCATGCACCCAGAAGGATTTCCAGAGAATAATGCATAGGAATCTAATAGCAGTCGCCAGTTTGGAAGGACTGAGATGGCAAGCAGGGAGACTTCCCTGTATTCTTTTTTATGTATTGTATTTTTTAACCACATAAATGTATTCTTTTTATAAGGCTAGTATAAAATAAAATTTTTTGAGGGAAACAAACTGTAAAGCAGTATATGAAATAATTATTTTTTATTATATGCACTTTTAAAAACTATTGACAGTGGTCATCATTGCAGGGCTTTAATGTCTTCACTTATATACTCATATTTCTTTAATTTGTACAAGAAAGGTGGATTGTTTCTGTAGCCAGAAAGAACAAAATATGATCATTTAAAATCCATTTTATAATGAATAGAGAGACATGATATATTTCTGCTCCCTCCTCACTATTCTTTAACTATTACAAACTGCCGTCTGACAGAACCCTGGCTTTCACCTTTTAGTTTTTGCATTCAGTGTCCTTTCTGTGACTCAACTGAACTTTTTTTTTTTTAAAGAATCAGATGCCTCCAGGACTTGTCTGCTACTCTCAGATCCAGGCCAGATTGGACAAAAAAGATAAAAAGTCCTTTGCCTCATTTAACCTTTCAGGAATCATTTCCCCCCTTTCTACCGCTGCAGTGGTTCCACAAATAGAAGCTTCTAATTCCTTCTGTCAATTCCAAATTTTATGACTTTATGGGGGGCAGAGGAGAGACTAAAAATCTCAGAAGACATTTTCCCTCCCCCTTTAAGAAAGCAGAGGAACCAAGACCTCCCAGAGAGGGGTTCTACTTGCACTTGAGGTTACTTACAAGGGTTGTATTTAGATATAGATCCGACCTCTGGTAACAGCAGCAGGACTGCCACTTTAAGAGCTGGCCCTGCCCTTTATGTAAGAGGTTTGTTTTGCTTCAGAGCATTAAATATTACAATTTTAGCAGTCAACAAATAAGAAACATAAACAAGCTTTTGTATGAGTCAGTAGAAGAGAGGGGCAGCATGGTGGCTGGCTGTGTAACCTGGTATGAGGACCAGGATGGATTTAAAATATTCTGCCCCTAGAACATAAAATGGCATGGCCACAATGGAAAAACAGTAAGGCAGTTCCTCAAAAAATTAAAAATAGAATTATTATATGATCCAGCAATTCCACTTCTAGGTATATATCCCAAAAACATTAATGTAGGGACTCAGATATTTGTACACTTGTGTTTATAGCAGCAGTATTCACAATAGCCAAAATGTGGAACTAACGCATGTGTCCATGGACAAATGAATGGATTGACAAGATGGGCTAGACACATACAAGGGATATTATTCGGCCTCAAAAAGGATGGAAATTTTGACACATGCTGCAGTATGGATGAACCTTGAGGACATTAGGCAAAGTGAAGTAAGCAAGACTCAAAAGACAAACACTGTGTGACCCCACTTACAGGAGGTCCCTAGAGCAGTCGCAGTCACAGAGACGGAAAGTAGAGTGGTGAACACCAGGGGGTGGGGGAGGGGAAATGGGGAGGCACTGTTTACCAGGTATGGAGTTTCAGTTTGGAATGCTAAAAAAAGTTTTAGAAATGGATAGTTGTGATGGTGGCAAAACAATGTATTTAATGCCATTGAATTGTACACTTAAAAATGACTCAAATGGTTAAGTTTTATATTACACATGTTTTACCACAATAAAAAAAGTTGAAAAAAATTCTGCTCCTCATTTGTATCTCCATGACCTGTCTGTCACTTCACGAACCCTAGAAATAATCAGGAGATTAGGGACCAAGCCAAATCCGTCTCAGGGCCTCAGTCTCATCATCTGTGAAATGGAAGGACTGGGTGGAGCGTCCAGAGTTCCGACTTGTGTCAGCAGAGGGGAGATTGGAGGGAAACAGCCTGCATAGAAGGTAGTATGCCCAGGGCTATATAAATGAACATTGACACCTAATAGATTTTTGAGACTCTACTACAGGTTAACAATTAAATTTTTTATTTAGAAATGTTAATTTTTTAATTATAAAATATTTCAAGCATACATAAAATCCCTTGAGATTTCAACACTCTTTAAAAAATTTTTTTAAATATATCTTTAGAAGGGAAGGGAAGGAGAGAGGGAGAGAAACATCAATGTATGGTTGCTTCTTATGCATCCCCTGCTGGGAACTGGCCTGCAACCCAGGCATGTGCCCTGACTGGGAATCAAACCACAATGTTTTGGTTCACAGGCCCGGGCTCAATCCACTGAGCTACACCAGCCAGGGCAAGATTTCAGCACTTTTAAATGTGTATCCCCAGAGCCTAGAACAGTGGCTGTCAAGTAGTAGAAATTCAATGAATGTTTTTTGAGTGAATGAATGACTTCTTATTCAAGTTCACAAATAAATGTTAGTTTTTCTACAGTAGTTCCTATAAGCATAATTGCTTCAAATATATGAAGCCCTGCCAGACAGCCCACCTGTTACACCACTATCACCAGTGTATATGTAGGGTTTGTGTTTTCTCCTGTCCACACCGACATTTGCTACTGTCACACTTCATTTTTGCCATCTGATGAATATTAGTAGTATATCATCGTTTTATTTTGAACTTTCTTGGTTATTTAGTGAGGTCAGGTGTATTTCCTTAGACTTTTGTCATGACTTGCCTATTCGTATCCTCTTTCCCAGTAGGGTTGTCTTTTTCATATCATATATGTTTTGGCTACTAACCCTTTATTAATATTTTGCAAATATGTCCTTCTTGTCTTTGGCTTATGCTTTTTCTTCATGATATGTTTTTTGACCAGAAAATTTAATTTTTGTGTCTTTGAATTTATCAGACTTTTCCATTGTGGTTTGTACTTTACGTGTTTTGTTTTAAAAATCCTTTCCTACATTGAACTGATATACATAATCTCTTTAAAAACTTAATTAATTTCTTAATTTTAGAGAGAAAAAAGGAGAAGCAGAAAGAGAGAGGGAGAGATCTGTTGTCCCACTCATTTATGCATTCATTGGTTGATTCTTGTATGTGCCCTGGTTGAAGATGGAACCCTCAATCTTGGTGTATCAGGAAAATGCTCTAACCAACTGAGATACCCTACCAAGGCCAAATAATCTTTTTCATGTAAGTCTTTTTTAATTAACTTTTTCATTTGGAAATAATTTTAAACTTACAAAAGTTTGCAAAAATAGAAATTTACAAAGAACATTCGCACACCCTTTACCCAGATTTACTTAGTGTTAACATTTTACTCCACTTATTATTTTATTTTACTTTTTACTATTTTCAAAAGATGTTATTTATTTTTAGAGAGAGGAGAAGGGAGGAGGAGAAGGAGAGAAACATCAGTGTGTGGTTGCCTCTCAGACTCCCCCAACTAGGGACCTGGCCTGCAGCCCAGGCATGTGCCCTGATGGGAATCAAACTGGCAGCACTTTGGTTTGCAGGCCTTTGCTCAATCCACTGAGTTGCACCAGCCAGGGTGTTTTTATATGTTTTTAATGTGAAATTGGTTTTGCATAGTGTGAGATGGAGATCTAATCCTCCCTCCTCCCTCCCATATGGCTAACTAATCAGCTCCATTTGTGGAATAACCCATTCTTTTCCCACTAGTAAAAAATGTCCATTTCTTCTTACATAATATATCTCTTTTTCTTTTTCCTGTTTTTTCCCCAGTGCTTTCTATTCTGTCTCATTGGTCTATTTGTTTATCTCTGAACCAATACTATAGTGTCTTTATTATAGCTTCGTAATACATTTTGATATATGGTAGGGCAAGTAATCTATCATATTCTTCTTTAAAATTGTCTTCATTTTTTTGTCACCTAGGCAATTATATTCTTTGTCACACAAACCTCCAAGAGATTAAGCAATTTTTCCAAGGTCACAAAGTCAGGAAAGAGGAGTTTGTACCTAGATCTGCCCAAGACCGGAGCTCTTTCCATTATCTCCTGGGATTCTACCTTCCCAAGGCCAAACTAATGGTTTTCTAGGTGTGGAGATGTGGATGTCAGAGAATCATGTGTGGGCAGGCAAGAGAAGATAGGCAGGCAGACTGGTTTGGGTTAGTCTCTGGGGTACGGACTTTGCCAGCCAATGGATGGGGCTTGGACTTGGCTGGAAAAACTGAAAAAAGATTGGAGTCAACGGAACTGAGAGAACTCCCACCCCAGGACTGAGCACCCACAGGTGTCCACGGGCACAGTGCTGTCACTTTCAGGCTGAGCAGGATAGTGCGGCTTGGATGCTGGAGGTTTTAGGAGATATGGGGGTGGAGAGAGAACCTGACTGGCTGCTGGGAAGCCAGGACAGATACTACCCTGGAGCCCCATCCTCCACCAGCTCCTCCCCGTCTGATTAAGGAACCTTAATCAGCTTAGATAGATTAAGGGCTCCCACCAGCTGCTCCCATATCCCGGCCCTGGGCCAGCAAAAGGGACTTGTGGGAGGGTGTGTGACCCCTCACCTCGGCCCTGGGCCAGAGCCCGAGCCCCATACTCTCAGGTGAGTGGCAAAGGCCCCTCCACACGGACTCTGGTGTCTTCTCTTCACCCAGCTCATCTAAGGAGGGGGTGGATCTGTCCCCTCTGGCCCCTCGGCTCTGATGAGAGGAGAGCGCTGGACAAGCGGGAAACAGGAAGCCAAAGGGGAGGGGAATGTGGTGGGTTTCTAAACCGTGCCCTAGACCCCCAGCATGTTTTTCAAGCCTGAGGTGGGAAAGTGGAGATACACCATAGGTTAATTGGGTTTTAAGAAAATGGGGGTTGTGGAGAGATCCCCAAGAGACCTGAGGGGGAGGGAATCTCATCGTTCTCCCAGCTCTGTTTATGCTCGCAGAAGCCGGCAATGACCACTTGCACTGTCCTCACGAGCGGCCTTGGAGACCTCCTGCTCTGCATCCCCGCGCGGTGGCCTCCGTCCCCTTCCGGGCTCCCCCGGGCGCTACCCTGGCCCCAGCCTCAGCTCCGACTGCTGCTTCTGCTACTCCTCCTCCTGCTGCCTTCAGCCCTCCCCGAGGTGTTCAGAGTGGGGGTGCTGGGCCCCTGGGCCTGCGACCCCATCTTCGCCCGTGCCCGCCCGGACCTGGCTGTCCACCTGGCTGTCAACCGCTTGAGCCACGACTCAGCCCTGGAACGCGGCCCCCGCTTCGAGGTCGTGCTGCTGCCGGAGCCGTGCCGGACGCCAGGCTCTCTGGGGGCTGTGTCCTCCGCGCTGGCCCGCGTCTCGGGTCTCGTGGGTCCGGTGAACCCTGCAGCCTGCAGGCCGGCGGAGCTCCTGGCCCAAGAGGCGGGGGTCGCGCTGGTGCCCTGGGGCTGCCCCGGGACACGGGCAGCGGGCACGACGGCCCCCGCAGTGACCCCAGCAGCAGACGCCCTCTATGCCCTCCTTCGCGAGTTCCGCTGGGCACGCGTGGCCCTGGTGACCGCCCCCCAGGATCTGTGGGTGGAGGCGGGACGCTCACTGGCCACTGCACTCAGGGCCCGGGGTCTGCCTGTTGCCCTGGTGACCGCCATGGAGTCCTCCGACCGATCTGCAGCCCTAGAAGCCCTGGGGAGGGTCCAGGACGGGCCCAGAGTCAGAGGTAGGCTCCCCGCAGGGGCAGGGAGGTCGGCAGTCCCGCTGGCCCCGGGGCGGGGTGGGAGGGGGGTAAATCAGTGAGCGGAGTCTCTGTGTCCACAGCAGTGATCATGGTGATGCACTCGGTGCTGCTGGGCGGTGAGGAACAACGCTGCCTACTGGAGGCTGCAGAAGAACTGGGACTGGCCGATGGCTCCCTGGTCTTCCTGCCCTTCGACACACTCCACTACGCCTTGTCTCCAGGCCCAGAGGCCTTGGCTGTGCTGGCAAACAACTCACAGCTTCGCAGAGCCCACGATGCTGTGCTCACTCTCACACGCTACTGTCCCCCTGGAGGCAGCGTGCTGAACAGCCTGCGCAAGGCCCAAGAGCAACAGGAGCTGCCCCCTGACCTTAATCTGCAGCAGGTAGAGGGACCGGGAAAGACAGAAGAAGGAAGGAGAGTGGGGAAGAAAGCAGAAGATAGCCAAAGAAGGGAAAGAGGCTGGAGGCAGTGGGGAGAGAAGTGGATAGAGTTGTGAAATGAAAAGAGGCTGGAGTCCATGGGTGGGACGAGGTCAGCCATAGGAAGAGAATAACTAGCCAGCAGCTCTACCTGTTTCCTGGGTAATGTAGGCTCTCTAATCTTGCTCGCTTGGGGCATCTCAGTGTACTGAGATTGCTTCAGAGGGACTGCAGTGAGACGTCTCAAGACCAGCTCCAAGAGTAAAACCCTAACCCCTACACTTCTTTGGTAGTCTACTTCGAAGTAAATCCACTTCCAGCACCACCACAACACACAGTCTATAATAAACACTTGGTGTTCTTAAGAGAGCAGGAAAGAGGGAGGATGCAGATCCGACTTCCATGCCCATGTCAGAGGTATTCCCTCTGGGGATTCATCTGATGGCTTGAACTTTCTGAAAGCCTCGACATCTCGTGAGAAGCAGAAAGGTCCCTCGGTAGAGCCAGGAGCTTCAATAATCATTTAGATCCACAGTTTATTCCCTGGAACTAGCTAATACCCAGGCTTCCCTGAGAACCCAGAATCCCAGTTCAGACCATCTAGACCCACCCCATTCATAAAATGGGGTCTAGAAACCACCAAGAGAGAAGGGGATTTAGATGTCAGTGGGCACTAAACTAACTACACGAAGGGTTGCACATGACAGGGCTATAAGTCATGGGGAAGGGTAAACTATTTCCCACCAATTCTGCTCCCCACTCTGAGTCCCCTCCACTCATATTTGGAGTAGCCAGTGGGGAGAAATGATGGGAATAGTCAAGAAGAGGAGAGGAAGAGTTAGGAACAGAGATGGGATGGAGGAGAGTGAGAGAGTAGAGCAAGTGGTGAGAAGACCTCTTCAGTTCTCAGTGAGTATCAGTAGCACAGCTTTCCACCTCACTGCCCAAGTGAGACCCTCTCAAGTCACCCTTAATCCCACTAATGGTTTCACTCCAACATCCAGACATCAAGTCCTGTCACTTTCTACTTCTTTAAGGTCATCTGAATCCATCCACTTTCTCCACTCTCACTGTCACTGCCCTAGTTCAGGCCATAAAGTCTCTGGTCCAAATCTCAAAGCAAAATCTCCCAAACGGTCTCTGTCTCAGCGTTCGCCTGCGCCAGATCTTTCTCCACCCAACGATCAGACTGAACTTCAGAAACGTGACTGTGTCACACCTCTGTTCAAAGCCCCAAGTGCTTTCTCTTGCAGGATAAATGCAGGTCTCTTCCCATAGCTTACCAGGTCTGGTATCTTCCTCCCTCTTCCATCTTCCTTGAACTTCAAGCAGACCAGCTACTTTGGGTTCCCTAAATGTGTGCTTCTCTTTCACCTCTGTGCTGCGGGGTACACTGTTCCTGCTCTCCTGCCTCAATGGTCCCCCAGATAATTCTGACTCATATCCTGAGAGATGGTCACTTCTTCTGGAAGCCTCCTCCTTCTCTCCCAGCCTGGGTGGGGGCCCTCCTCCCAGTCACCACAGCTCCCTCAGTTACCTGTACCCTCACTCATGGCCCTGCCTTAACATCCCTTTCTGTCTCTCCCAGTAGATGGAAGATTCCTTGAGACAGGGACTCTGTCTTGTATACCGATATATCCCTAGTGCTTTACACACTTCCTGGCAGTGTGAGACATGGGAACATGGGAACAATAGGGAGGCTTGATGAGGCCTTGGGAAATGAAAAGAAGAAAAAATAGAAAAGAGAAGCTAACCAAAACACTGGAAAGAAGGCTTTTAGGTGAATGGAAGGAAATGATATTAAAAAATATATCCAGGACAACCAAGATGAAAAGGAAAAGAGGATCTGCGGGTAATGGAGGTAGAATTAACCAATGGCGAGAAGAGTCTAAGAATCCTGAAAAGAAGGAAGGCCAGCGGGGAGAAGAGGTGGGATAGCCAATTGGAGAGAGACAATAGGGAGGGACATGAGGAACCACTAAGTAGGAAGTGAGAACAGTCAAGGGCTTGAAGGATTTGAAGGGCCCAGTGACAAGATGGGGGGCAGTAAGTCCCTGTCTGTTTATGGGCCATGACCCTGAACTCTCCTCCCCTAGGTATCCCCACTCTTCGGCACCATCTATGATGCAGTCTTCTTGTTGGCGGGGGGTGTGGTGCAAGCTTGGGCAGCGGTAGGTGGCAGATGGGTGTCCGGAGCAGCTGTGGCCCACCACATCCAGGGTGCCCAGGTCCCAGGCTTCTGTGGAACACTGGGAAGAGCTGAGGATTCCCCGTTTGTGCTGCTGGACACGGATGAGGCAGGGGACCAGCTGTTCACCACATACATGCTGGACCCCACCCGGGGCTCCTTCCACTCTGCCGGGACCCCGGTGCATTTTCCTAGAGGGGACCAAGGGCCTGGGCCCGACCCCTCTTGCTGGTTCGACCCAGACGTCATCTGCAATGGAGGTGAGGGCAAACACCCAGCCTCCACTAGAGTAAGCACCAGGTACCTCCCCACAAAGTGGTGAAAGAGAGTGAACCCTTCCTGTAACTCCTTGAGTGCCTTTCAGGTCCTCTTCAGACCCCAGACTAGTGTAGGACCCCTCCCTTGCTGAGCCCCTAAAGCCCTCTTGAAAACTTTCTAGAATTCCCAGATGCTCTCCCTTAGTAGCACTCATGACCTTTTTCTAGTTCCCCTTCTTGGCTCCCAACCCCCTTTCTTGGAGCCTCCAGACTGTGACATGGCTGCACACTTCCCTAGATGGGGCACCTCCCCTCCACCATGTCCCTCATGGTCCTCATGTCCCTCCTCTCACTGACCCTGCAGGAGTGGATCCCGGTCTCGTCTTTATCGGCTTCCTCCTGGTGGTTGGGATGGGGCTGACGGGGGCCTTCCTGGCCCATTATGTGAGGTGAGCAGAGAAGGGAGATAAGTAGAAGAGCTTGGCTCTCCACATGCCGGAAATGCAACAGCACAGCCAAGACAGCAGGCTGGGTCCCCTCAAGACAGAAGGGGGGATTTTTTTTTTGGAAGCGGGGAGGAGAAGGGGCCCTAGAAGGCTGGCGGAGCCCCAAGGCGATGGCTGGTTTGGGGATGGCTGCCCTCCCCTGAGCCAACATTACCCCTTGCTGGCCTCCTCTCATGCACCTTGGTCTCTGTTGGGGAAATGACCTCCTTCTCCTACCAGGCACCGGCTACTGCACATTCAAATGATCTCAGGCCCCAACAAGATCATCTTGACTCTGGACGACATCACCTTCCTCCACTCACAAGGGAGCAGTACTCAAAAGGTGGGAGAAGCTGGGAGCCAGGAAGCAGCCGTCCTCCCCTGCATATCTGGTCCCCTGCCACGTCAGCCCTCACCCCACCCCTACCTGGAAAGGAAGTCTTGTTTCTGCGCTAGCAGAGTCCCAGGCCTGAGCTCTGGAGATAGTGCTCTTATGTGTGCTTTGAGGGTGACACTGCTTTGCTGACTGCTTTCCTCAGGCAGTGTGACTCTCCAGTAAGAAAATGCATGTTTGTTTTGTAAACTGTAAAGTGCTGTGTGCCTAGGAAGTAATGTCATTATCACCTCCCCTCATTAAGGTTTCTTCCTCTCCTCTCTTTAATCTCCAGAACTCTAAGAACTCATCATATCCAGAACTCTTGAGTATATTTTGACCCCTTGCATTGACCCCTCCCCTCCAGGTGGCCCAGGGCAGCAGTCGGTCAAGTCTGGCTGCCCACAGTGTGTCAGACATCTGCAGCGTCCCCAGCCAGCCCCCGGACAACTCCAGCATTGGCCTCTATGAGGTGAGCCTGCCCCCCAGCTCAGCTGAGCGTCGTATCCCACAGGCTCCAGGAAATGGTGATAGGACCCCAGAAGAAGATCTAGGGAGAGGTCATAAATTTCTCAAAGGGAACTATCTGGTAATCCTTCCTGCCCCAGGATTTTTCCATATCTCTTATTCAGGTGAGGGGGGGTCCTCAAAGACTAATCACAGGGGCAGGTGGCCTGACTGGTGGGGAGCACGCTGAGACCAGCATGCAGCCTCGTGTGGCCACTGAGACCACCCCCCACCTTGTTGGGAGGCTCTGGCCCTGCCCACTTTTCGGTAAACCCACTTCCCTGGTTACTGAAGGGCACAGGCCTCCCAGGAAGGGTAGGGGCAGAGGGGCATCTGGGATGTGGCTTCTCAGTCACAGAAAGGACATTTCCAGAAGATAGGTGGTTCAGGATGGGGCTTTTCCAGACAGGGCTACCCCTGACTCAAGCCAGACCCACATTTTGGCCCCGCCCAGCATTTCCACCCAATTCTGACCAGGCTCAGGAATCGTAAGCTTTAGGGGGAAAGAGAAAGTCACAAAAGGGCATGAGGACATTAACTGTGGGGTGAGCAAATGTGATGGGATGGAATGACTGGGGGTAATGAGGACAAATTGAGGCAGGGCTGAGAGAGAGCTCAGCTAATCAGGAAGGGAGGGGAGATTTAGAGCTCCCAGAGTGTCACATCGCAAAGAGGGTACAGAGACTCCTAGTGTGTCACGTAGAGGCCATCACGGCCATTTCTCAGAGGAGCACTATTGTTATTTTGGGCAGATTATTCTTCACTGTATCGGATTACCCTCTACCTTGAAGAATGTTTAGTGCCTCCTGTCTCTGGCCCTGTTTACTAAACGTAGCCCTCAATTTCTATGACAATGAAAAATGTCTCCATATTTATTTCTAAATGATTTTGGGAGTTAGTATCAAATCCCCCAAATTCTCTTCTCTTCCAAATCCCTTATCAACAGGCAAGGGCAGCTGCGATGTCTATGGAAAATAAAATTGAGGACCCCTTGTTCATTCAAGATGACAACAGCAGATCACTGAACCAAGCTCAGGCCCTCCTGAGCTGGGGCCCCCATGTGACTGCACCTGTCGCATGCTCATGAACCAGCCCCACCATCAGCTGAGGTCAATGAGGCCCAAGGCCTGGAGGGGAGCTGCCTATACTTCACAGTTAGTCTATAATAAAGCTTGATCTACCCAGACTCCTGACTCCCACCACAGTGCTCACTCATGGCAACAAATGGTGATGAGGGTTATGACTTCAATGACATTTGTGTTGGCAATGTCTCATTTAATAGGGCTGTTGGTGAGCACATCTGGGTTGGTGAGGACAGACATTAAGGCCTTCTGCATCTCTTACCCGGCAGGGGTGGGGTGGGGGGAGAGCTCTCGCCTGGCAGGTAGCTGTGGAGTGGACTGGCAGACATCAAACCCCGGGCTACTGACACTCTTTGTCACAGAAGTTCTGAGGCAGCAGACCAGTAGAAATGGCGGGTTAGGGCTCTTTGCATCATGGAATTTTAAGAAACTGAGTTCACTACCCCCATTTCTGCTCCAGGGAGATTGGGTTTGGCTGAAGAAATTCCCAGGGGATCAGCACATAACCATCCGCCCAGCAACCAAGACGACCTTCTCCAAGGTGAGAGTTAGGCCCAGGACAGGGTGTGGGGAGGCCATCATTTCTCTCTCCTGCTTTCTCTTTGCAGCTTGGGTACAGGGGTAGCCCCAAAGTGGGAGAGATCAGGAGGACTCAGTGAAGTGTCCCCTCCTCTCCAACGCGGATTTCCCATTATGCTCTTTCATAACACTAGTTCATTCCTTTATGTGCTTGTCATAATTTGTAATTGTATGTTCACCTGTGTGCATGATTAGTTCTCATCTGCCTCCCTTACTAGACTGTAAGCTGAGTGAGGGCTTCCTCCTGCCCCCTTCATTGTATTTTCAGCACCCAGCAAAGTGTCTGGAACATTCGAGAGACCCAATGAATGTTTGTTGAGTGAATAATAGAAAATTTTTAAATGGGTTTTCAGTTCTGTCAGGTTATTCATGTAGAATGGCCTAGTTAATGCATACTGAGTGAAATAGAAAGTTGGCAAGGAGGCTGTAAACTGGCTTGTTCTGGTCCTTTCAACTCTTTTTTTTTTTTAAGATTGTATTTATTTATTTTTAGAGAGAGGGGAAGCGAAGGAGAAAGGTCAGTTGCCTCTCATATATGCACCAGCTGGGGGCCTGGGAGTTGGAACCTACAACCCAAGCCCATGCAGTGACCAGAAATCAAACCAGTTACCTTTATCTTTGCAGTACGAAGCCCAAACAACTGAGCCACACTGGCCAGGGCTAGTCCGTTAAACTTTAATTACCCCCTTACCCCTAACACCATGCCGACTTGGCCTGGCTTCCTTCCCTGTTGCCTTCCCAGAAGCTCTTGGTTATAGCTGCAGAATGACTCAAGAGGACTACTTCACAGTCAACGAACTAAATCACCATTTAATAGCAGACATTTGAGATGAAAAGAATCCCTTTATTAGACCAAAGCTAAGCTAGAAAAAGCACCAGTCAACTGCTAGCCCAGTCGTGGAGGACCTCTGTCCTGTGGAGTGGGTGTGGCCTTGTTGATGGCTCCCTGGGGCCACAGCTTGCCTGCTCAGTCCCTACTTACTTGGGGAGTGTGGGAGTCTCAGACACAGCGGACATAATGATGTGGCCAAGCAAAGCAGCCTTGGGCCCACTCCCCAGTGCAAGCGATTTCTGGTGTTTTTTTGAAAGCAGTGCAGCTTCTTCTCCCCACAAAGGCAGTCACATCAGAAGGGGAGGGTGGTGGTGCCAGGGGCTTCTCCTTCGTGAGGTGTTTAATTAAGACACGGACGGTTCAAAGTCTGATGCTTGTTAAATCAGAACCTGCCTAGATCCTGATGACCCAGGCAAGGGTGTCTTTTCATCCGTAACATTAATCTAAACCATACTTGATATCTGAAGAGCAGCCTTTGAAGATGTTGTCTTTTCCAGAGAGAGAAATTATCTGTATAAGGAAGGCCCTCTGACATGCCCTATAGACCCTCCATTCACCATTTTCAGCCCATCCTCCAAGTTTAAATACTCAAAAACAGAACTGAATGACAGTCCCCCCCCCACCTCCACCTTGCACCCAGGGCAGAAAACGCGCGTTAACTACCCCCCACCCCCAGCTCCGGGAGCTTCGGCACGAGAACGTGGCCCTCTACCTGGGGCTCTTCCTGGCGGAAGGCGCGGACTGCACCGCGGGCCCCGGGGAGGGTACGCTGGCTGTGGTCTCAGAACACTGTGCCCGGGGCTCCCTCCACGACCTTCTCGCCCAGAGAGACATAAAGCTGGATTGGATGTTCAAGTCCTCCCTCCTACTGGACCTCATCAAGGTGTGGGGGTGGAGGAGGAGGGGTGCAGGGAGGAGCGGGCGGGGTGGGGGGAGCCGCACGCTGAAGCTGCCACTTACCCCACCCCCTCCAGGGAATGAGGTATCTGCACCACCGAGGCGTGGCCCACGGGCGACTTAAGTCCCGGAACTGTGTGGTGGATGGGAGATTCGTGCTTAAAGTCACCGACCACGGCCACGGGAGACTACTGGAAGCCCAGAGAGTATTACTAGAGCCTCCCAGCGCTGAGGGTAGGATCCCCCGGTACTTCGGCGCGGATCCCTGCTATTTCAAGGGCCCTTCCTTCCCTCCCTCTTTCCCTCCATCCCACATCCACTGGAAGTGACTCCTGCTAGGAAAAGGTCTATTGACCTCTGAGATGAGGAGGGTGGACGGTGAAACCCGGGAGGCGGGGGCATTACAGGGGCAGACTCGCCCTTCGGAAGCGGAGCTCCTGTCCGGGGAGCAGGGTCTGTTCTCGGAGGGGCCTTGCCTAAGGCGGGGCTTGTGTCCAAGGGGCGACGCCTAACGGGCGGGACCTGCTTGTGGAGCCCGGGCTTTTCCTGAGACGCGCTGTCGGTGGTCCCCGCTGGCGGTAGTTGCTCGCCCCGGCGGGGCCAGACTCAGGCTGGGGGGTTGGTGAGTGGGTGTGAGCCTGGGCTTTCTGCCGTTGGAGTTGGGGTGTCTGTCCCCAGTGCCCCCGAGGCCCTCCGCGTGCCCACGCCCTCTTCCCGGACCTTAGACCAGCTGTGGACGGCCCCGGAGCTGCTTCGAGACCCAGCCCTGGAGCGCCGGGGAACGTTGGCCGGCGACGTCTTCAGCCTGGGCATCATCATGCAGGAGGTCGTGTGCCGCAGCGCCCCCTACGCCATGCTGGAGCTGACGCCGGAGGGTACCGCCGCCCCTCGCGTGGCGTTTGGGCTGTTAGGCATCGTGCTGTTAGGCATAGTTTGGCCAGACCCAGCGTCTCTCTTTTCCGGAAAGCCCAGGGAGGAGACTTAATTATGTGGACGTTCCTTCAAGCTGGGGTCCGAAGGATCAGGGCAGTGGAGAGTAAAGCAGCAAGACAGGAGGGGGCAGTTCTTAGGCACCCAGACCTCAGTGGTTTCCTCTGTCCCGATTCTGGGCTCCAGACTTCTTCCCCAACAGATGGAACAGGCTCCTCTCTGGTTCTTAGGTTCTTAGAGACAGCGCGGGGGGGGGGGGGGGGCGGGGATGGGAAGAGAGCAGCTGGACATGGTTCGAATCATATTCCCTATCACCAATAGGACTTAGCAAACTACTTGATCATTCATGCTAACCCTCACTTATGTGTAACAAATTAGTAGTCTCTGCCTGTTACCTCCACCTGCCCCTTGCCTCTCAGGGTTCAGAGTCCCCTTGTTTCTCCCAGCAATCCCCTTCCACGCTACACTTCCCCACTTACCAAAGCTCTGATTTAAGGGGCCCCTTTCAGTTCCCCTCATCTTGAGCTTCACACTGAGGCCAGAGTCAGAGGTAGCATCTGTTGTGGCACATCCCCTCTCATGGTCCCTTTATACCTCCAGAAGTGGTGCAGAGGGTGCAGAGCCCCCCTCCACTGTGTCGGCCCTTGGTTTCCGTGGACCAGGCGCCCATGGAGTGCATCCAACTGATGAAACAGTGCTGGGCAGAGCAGCCGGACCTTCGGCCCTCCATGGACCGCACCTTCGAACTGGTTAGGGGCTGGGATTGGGCAAGGGTTGGGCTGGCCACTTCTCAGCAACCTGGAGAGGCTGCAGGAAGGCAGACTGGCAGGATTTCTGACCCGGAAGGCTTTTTCTTAAGGGCAGCCTGAGGACTGCGGTTTTGTTAGGGGCAGAGTTACAACAGGGCTGTGGAGGCCTTTAAAGCCAGAGGTGGAGCTGTGGGTGGGAGAAATATTTAATTCAACTCAACATTTATTGAGAATCAAGTATGTATTTGACCTAGTGCAGCAGAAAGACCCTTGGCCTGGAAATACAAAGGCTGGATTGATTGCACTGCTCTGTCAATTACCAGCTGAGAACAGCTGACCTCAGGGGATAGCATTTCCTGTATGCCTACCAATAACGTGTAAAAACACAGTGCTTAGCACTCTGGGGTGTGTGGGAAGGGGCATAATGAGTTGAAGATGAATGAATGGATGCAGGGAGGGGAGAGTCAGGCACGATACAACCCCTGGAGAGAACCTTGGCAGCCAGGTCCTCAGCAACCTCAGCAGCTTCCTCCTACTAGTTCAAGAGTATTAACAAGGGCCGGAAGACCAACATCATCGACTCCATGCTGCGGATGCTGGAGCAGTACTCCAGTAACTTGGAGGACCTGATACGGGAGCGCACAGAGGAGCTGGAGCTGGAAAAGCAGAAGACAGACCGGCTACTCACGCAGATGCTGCCTCCGTGAGTGCCAGTGGGGAAAGGAAGGGCGGGTGGGGAGGGCGGCCAGAACCAAGCCAGACTGGGGTGGCCTCCGGATAACCTCACCACCTGCCATCCCTAGGTCTGTGGCTGAAGCTTTGAAGATGGGGACCCCTGTGGAGCCTGAGTATTTTGAAGAGGTGACACTGTACTTTAGCGACATTGTGGGCTTCACCACCATCTCTGCCATGAGTGAACCCATCGAAGTAGTGGACCTGCTCAATGACTTATACACGCTCTTTGATGCCATCATCGGCTCCCATGATGTCTACAAGGTGGAGTGTACAGGGGACGAGCCCTCCCTAAGGTTCCCCAGCTTCCAGCCCAGCCCTACCTGCGCAGCCCCCAGGCCACTAGCCCAGTCCTCTTTCCCAGCCCTTCCGTCCTTCATATCTTCTGCCAGTCCCCAGTTCAGTCCACCAGCTTGAAGGATCTCTGCGCTAAACCCAGTTTAAGCCTCCTGACAAGGGACAATCACTTTGGGGGAGCGGGGTGCTCGGTACTGAATTCGTACATCTTCCCTCAGGTGGAGACAATTGGGGACGCCTATATGGTGGCCTCCGGGCTGCCCCAGCGGAATGGGCAGAGGCACGCAGCGGAAATCGGCAACATGGCACTGGACATCCTCAGCGCAGTGGGGTCCTTCCGCATGCGCCACATGCCTGAGGTGTCCTTGCGCATCCGCATCGGCCTGCACTCGGGTAACTCCCCTACCTCCCAGGCTCTGGAGCCGGCTCCCTCTCTAGAGCCCGGCCCCAAATTTCCCAGATAGGAGGAACGCCCCGGGACCGGGGGTGGGGAGGAGTGAGGAGGTGCTTGTCTTGAAGCTACCTTTGCATACCAGGCACTCCGTTGTAATTAGAGTAGTTGCAATTAGTTGAGAGTGTTTTCTTTGGAGGAGCCGGTGGAGATTATGGGGTGCTAAAGTCCCCTTAGGCCCTAGGTGCCACCCAGCCGCCAGCTTGGGCCCAGGCACCTCCTTGCCACCAACCCCGCGTCTCCGCAGGCCCGTGCGTGGCCGGCGTGGTGGGCCTCACCATGCCGCGGTACTGCCTGTTTGGGGACACCGTCAATACCGCCTCGCGCATGGAGTCCACCGGCCTGCGTGAGTGTGACGGGGTTGGGAGGGGCTCGGGGAGCTGGGGCGAAGTCGCGGGGCCCAGAGGGAACGGGCCAGGAGGGGAAGGGGGTAGGTGAGTTCCGAGGTCACCCTGTCCCCTGTTGCCCCAGCTTACCGTATCCACGTGAACGTGAGCACCGTGCGGATCCTCCGCGCTCTAGACGAGGGCTTCCAGATTGAGATGCGAGGCCGCACGGAACTGAAGGTGAGGCCGGACCCGCCCCTTCCCTCTGGGAGACACCGCTCTCTACGCTGGGCCAGGCCCGACCCCGGATCTGCCCGTTCCACTTAGACCTCCAGATCCACCCGCTCTCACCCCAGCCCGCCTAAGTCCTCCCCTACCCCGTGTCTCCCCAGGGCAAGGGCGCCGAGGACACGTATTGGCTGGTGGGCAGACGCGGCTTCACCAAGCCCATCCCCAAACCTCCAGACCTGCAACCGGGGTGAGGAGCACGCATCCACAGGCCGGGCGATTCAAGGGATGGGCACAGGCCGAGAGAGCCTTTTTCCCGGCCTATGGCCCTGTGCTTGACTCCGCCTCGCCTCAAGCCTCGTGACCTGGCCCCTGCCTTCCCCAACCCCCATTCCCAATCCCTGAGGCCGCTGCACTCTCCCCACAGGGCCAGCAACCATGGTATCAACCTGCAGGAGATACCTCCCGAGCGGCGCAAGAAGCTGGAGAAGGCGAGGCCGGGCCATTTCCTGGGAAAGTGAGGCCTGGCTGGGACAGGTGCTGCCTCTTGGATCCTACACCCAGCTGCCAGGCTCCCCCAGACTCCAGGAGCTGCACCTCCAGGAGATGCTTCCTGGGGGACAGGCGCCTTTTCCCAGCCTAAGGACTAGCCCTGCCTGCACGACTTCTCACCCAGGCCTGTTGTCTTGTTTCTCTCTGACCTGGGGAGCCCAGGCTGGTTCCTAAACCCATAGATTTCCCCTGGGAGGGAAACACCAGTCACACAGATTCGATTGGGTAGGTCTGCAGTGGTCCAGGAATTCAGACTTGGGAACCCCTTTAACCATGACCTTCTGTGACTTCTCCTCTGACCCCCACTGCATTAACCAGTCCCCCACCCCCATCCCCACAGGCTGTGCACTGCACTAGAGACAGAACTTATCGCCAACACACGATAAGGCGACTGCTGCCCCTGGACTTCTGTTGGAGCAGAAGCCCTTCTGACCTCCACCCTCCTTCAAGGAACCATGATTCATGACCCTCCCCTTCCTAGGTGAGCCCTCATGGATCCTTTCCACGACTTCCTCTGAGACACTCCTCTTCCCCTCAGGATTATTCTAGAAGGTCCTCTTTCTGCAAGTTGCTGCTGTGGGTGACCAAAATTTGGCTGCTGCCTGTGGCTTCTGTGCAGCTCTTCATCGAAGGATTCTGGGCCTTCAGAAGAGCTGGTTGCAAACCAGTTGTGTGACCTTTGGAAAGACCCATGCAACCTCTGGGCTTGGGTTCCCCTCCGTGGTGAAATGAGGAGTGGTCTGGGTGGTTTCCACACCCCATGGCAGCTGAGTTTCACAGGGCTGGCTTGGGATATAGGGCACTGGGAATGTGACCCCGAGACCCTGGGGATGTGTGTGGGGGGGTGGTTCTTCACTTTCCAGGGCTTCTTAAGGAACCAGGAAGGAGGATTTGGGATTGGATCCCCCAACACTAGAAAAGTTAGAGACCTCCTGTTCCACCAGAGTAGGGGTGTCACATGGCCTGAGGATGTGAGGGCTTCTGCTTACCCTCAAGCATCAGTCCCTTCTCCATCCCCCACCAGTCAGAAAGTGGCTTCTTCACCCATGGGCATAATCATGTAACTTGCCCAAGTGCAGAGAAAAGCTTGCTTCAAGGTTTTGAGAAAAGGAAACAAACCGCACCAAACCTTTACTAACCAGAACACCCAAGGGGTTACCACCGGGTAATCTCTGTTTAACTGGGTGGTGCTGAGCAAGCAGTTGGAATAGGAAATCCTCTCTGCTTCAGTCCTTGCAACAAGTATTGACCCTGTCCTGGTAAGTCTCTAGCTGAGGTTTCTTTTCTGCAATTCTGATGTTCCAGAGCCTTGGCATGTTTGACTGGGTGTTATTCCCCATTGCTGCAGACTATGACAGAAGTTAGCAACAGCCGCAGGCACCCCAGACTGTCACCATAAGTAGTGAGCCTCCAGTCCCTGGAGGTGTGCAAGTAGAACTGGAGACATCATTGACCAAGGATACAACAGTCAAAGGGAATTCCTAGGTGGAGGGATGGACTAAATCCTCACTATGCAAAGCATGGTTGGTGGACCAGCAGCAGCAACATCACCTTGGAGCTTGTTAGAAATGCAGAATCTCAGGCCCAGACCTAGTGACTCAGAATCTGCATTTCAACAAGTTCCTTGAGTATTTATATATGTACAGTTTGAATCATGGAACTAACTGAACCTAGGATCCCTGTGTTTCAGAATCTCTGAAGATTTGATAAAAATCAAACTAGAAACTAGCCCTGAGACTAGCCCTGTGTGGCCTATGGGGTGATTTTGATTTTGTTTAAGTTAACATTTTAAAATCAAGAGATACCACTTTTAAATATATATATATACCAAACTTCTTTCATCTCTGAAAATAAAAGCTCCGCACAGGGGCAACTACTGACTTTCTGCTGGAGCTGAAGAGCGACTGTCCCTCTCTGGGGCTTCACTCTTCTGTTCTTGTGTGTCCCCAGCGCTCCCCGTGGACTCCAGGACACCGAGATTGTCTGAACATCCCCATGCACCTGCCCTGCGCCTGCAGGCATTTGAGCTCAGGATTCTAGGAGCAGCTGGTGTTAGGACTGCAGAGGCTCCTGGGAGTCCCTTTGTCTGATTCATAAAATCCTTGAAATATACAAACTTAGTAGTCTTCCCCTCCTTCCGAAAGGTAGAAAAATCTAAATATCCAGCACTTGTAGGTTCTGGTTACTTAAGGTGGTGCTGTTATAGTGAGTAACTTAGTTCATTTTTTTAAGTATTTTAAACAGAATATGGAGATGATGAATTAAAGATGTTGTAAAAATCCTAATATGCACACAAAACATTTTAAAAATTATGTATATTTTTAAACATCTCTCTTTAGATTTTCTCTGCACTTAGGTCTGAGATTGAGAGCAGACTACCTTGCTGGTGCTGGACCGGTCGATGTGGATGTAGCTCTCACTCCCCTGCCTCTTCCCTCCCCATCCTCCCCTCCCTCCCCTCCCTCCTGCCTGTGAGGGGACTGGGCGAGTCAATGACTGACCTGTGATTCAGGGGAGCCTCAGGGAAGAGTTGACCTGGGGTTGGACAGGGGTATTTGTATGGATTGGCTGGGGCAGGGCATTCCCCAGAGGAGGGGGGGTGAGCTGGGGTCCAAACCTAGTTTGGGGATAGAAATGGGGCAGGAGGGCTGAGTGGGTCTCTTCCCACCCTCAACCCGGCCTCGTTACCAGGCCTCCCGTCTCCAGTGAGCAAATGTGACTGGGGAAGAGCCTGGTAGAGAGTCCTGTCCTCCTCCCCGGACAGGACAACTTGGGGACCACCTACCCCAGAGCTCACAGAGCTAATGGAACAAGAAAAGGGGAAAATTAAGCCTCAGTTTCCTCTCTTCCTCTCAAGTTCCTCCTTTCTCTGTCCCTGTCCCTCCCTCTCTCAGTCTCCATGTCCATCTGCCTCTAGTCTCCTTCCCCGGTCCCCAGTGTCCTCTCTCTGCCTGGCAGCTTCTCCCTGCCTTTCTCTGCAGTTGCCCCATTTCTGTGGAACCATTGTTCCTGGGCCCAGTCAATGTCCTAGAGCTCTGCTGTCCTCTGATCCCAGACCTTTCCACCTTCCCCCTCCTGTTACTCCTGGAGCCTGGGCAACTCTCAGCCCAGAGAACACCTGGCTAGGGCATTACATGCCCCACCTTCAGATGTGTTTACACTACCTCTGCCAGCTGGCCTGTGCCAGGAGCCCACACTTGGGACTGTCCTCGCCTTCTCGATGTCTCTGCAACCAAGACCAGTGATGGTCAAAGCAGGGACCTCCCACAGCTGCTGCTTCAACCCCATAGCTAGGACTCCACATCCTGTCCTGGGGCTCACCTGGCACCTTTTCTCTGAGCTGTTCCTTGGGGTCTGGGCCCTGTTCCCCATCCCCACCTGCAGGGGACCCCAGGCACCCCACTTTGGGGGATCCTGAGGCTGCACTGTGAGGCCTTGTTCCCCAGGATCTTCTGGACTGTGCACTGTGGGCACCAGGCCGAGGGCCATGGTGTTGGCCCTGGGCAGTGGGGTGAGGACTGAAATAAAGGTGTGTTTTCTTCCATTTCATGTTGTGTGGTCCTTTTGGCATGGATTGTCTGAACCCCCCATTCCTGGAATGTTCAAACCTGGCTTTGTTAGAGAGGGCTTCAGATAAGGGGGAACCCTAGATATTATCTCAGCACAGAGGGGGTGAGCTGGGGCCAACAACCCCCTTGGAACTTCTCTGCTCAGGGGTTCTTCTCCAAGGGGACCAAGTAGGGAAGCCTCAGGCCATTTAGGCTTTATTTAGGTCTCTGGGGCTCTGGAAACAGGTGGTGTGGCCTCATCCCTTGGTCATGGCCAGGAGAAGAAGGAAGAGAAGAGCAGAGCTTGTTTATGGCCATGACTCATGACGCATAACCCATAGAAGCCAAGGGTCAAGAGTGAAGGAGCAGAGCCCCCAAATGAAGACGTTGAAGTACACTAGTCTCTGTACCCGTATCCTCCTCTGACCCCTCTAGAGCCTGCCACTGGGGCATTAGAGCAGGACAGACCATCCCAAAGACACTGGTATGTGACCAGCCCATTAGCTGTCCATTTTCCTTGAGCCCAACTGTTTCTGGCACGATGACCCATTGTGGATGGTGGCTGTTCTGCCTTCCCAGCATCTGGCCTGCCCCATGGTGAGCAACCACCCCTGACTCACCCTCAATCCCTGTAGAACCAGGTGGAACTGAGCCCAGATCTTTGCAATCTTTCCATCCCTTTGGCTGCAGGAATTGCTTTAAGGACAGGCAGGTGACCTGGACCATGAAAAAGAGGCTCAGGGCTGTGGAGCAGCTGGAAGCCAAGTGTAAAAGGTGTCTCTTTTCTCTGGGGTTGCTGAGAGGATGTGATGCCAAGGGGTCATGCTACCCCAAAGACAAGGAGCAGAGCTGACATGTGGGCAGAGACAGTCTGCAGCCATTGGCAGGGCCTCAACACCTCTCTGGGCCCAAAGCCAGGTCCAGCTGTTCAACCACCATGGGCTGGCAAGTTGTTTTCTTTGCCTAGGCTAGATGGAAACCCATCTATTTTTGCTCCTTATAGTCACAATTATCCTGACAGACACTCCTTAAAAAGAATATGGAATGCGATGAGGGTTAGGCTGGTTTAACAGGAAAGAAAAGAGGAAAAGGCTGGGTTGGGGAGGTGGAGGAGTGTGTCCGCTCCTGGAAAGCCCATTTATGGGAACCGAACTTAGGGAAAGCTTAGGGCCTGGGGTCCTGCCTGGATTTTTTGTGCTGACTCAGCATTTAGAAAGTAGAGGAATATTTCAGGTCATGCCTTAAAGGAGATGATGCAAATGAGGGTGTGAATGATCTTTAGGCCCAGCACAAGGGCTGGCTGCCAACACTTTGGAAGTAAGTGACTAGACTTTCACAGGGAGACTGGGGTGGGGCAGATGGCTCCTGAGTGGGAAAGGGAGTAGAGAAATTGGGGAGAACAGCTGTGATGTCTGGGAAACCTAGGTTCTTACAGGGTGGGGCTTATTTGTCACATCTAGAGACTCACCAACCCAAACTAAAGCTACTTGTCACCTCTACCAGGGACATTCCACCTCACCATCCACCCCTGAGCCTGTCTTTAGCCCTGGACCCAGAGAAGGGGGTCCCCAGAGAAGGGGAACCAAGCAGGATGGGTAAATGCTTTCAGGGAACAGCAATCTTGCCATTGGAAAAGTACATCCCACACCCTCTCAACTTCTATCTCCGCATGCCTGCTTTGCACACATGAAGACAGGCTCCCTGCAGTGACAGGACTGGTCAGAGACCACATGTCCAGCAAGCCTCAGGAGCTCCTCAGGGGCGCTCTGGTGACACTCAGTTACGGTAAGTTCTGCTCATGCCTGCTTGATTCTCTTCTGCAAGAGTGCAGTTTGAACTCCAAATCAACATCTGTGTAATCAGATTATAAAAGAGTTTTGACTTAGTGGGATACTAACATGAACACATTTTACGTTTCTCTAATCAGTGCCTTCAAAACTTTAGTCTGGTTGAAAACTCCAACCTTCTATCTGGTCTAAATGTCTGCTCCCACCCATGCCTGTCAGGAACCTGGGGGTGGGGGGAATGCATGTCTGTTTCTTTCCTCCTTCCTCAACTCTGGCTGCACAATCAGGACAGGAGGGACATGGGGCATGATTTGATCTTGGGAAACCTGCCCCCTCAATCTTCAAGTGAGAAATACAGAAGTTCCCCTGGCAACACTGAGCTGCTTGCTGATGTTGGCTGGGAGTGGGAGGGGTGGGCGGTCCCTGCCCACATGGGCATGTGCAGAGGTGGGTTCTCTGTGAAGTGAATAAAGTTGAAACTTCACAGCCCCTCACTTGCACAAGCCCCTCTAGCCAATTTTGTTTTCTTTTTCTTAAAGGGGCCTTCAAAACTTGAAAAGCTTCAGGTCCTCACAGCATTTGGATCCATCCTGGATGTGGCCCCCCGGGGTTTGGGATTCAGCTTGTCCCCAGCCTTCTTTGTCACTAGACTCCTCTGAAAGCAACAGCTCTATCTTTCTTTATCCCAGCAGCGGTAGGCACCCCATCCCCTTCTTAGGGTACCACAGCTTCTGGGTATCCCATGGCTGCTGGGGACCCTCCGGGCAGGCCCAGGTTTCAGTTTATCCTCTCACTTCTGCCCTCCTTCAAGAAGACCCAAAGAACTGTCCTCTTCCTCACCATCACAGGCCACAGGGGACTGGGCCGGGAACTACCACTGCCTTCCTCCCAGGCCCCTGTACAGTGACTCCTTCCTGTGTTCTGCAGCCTGGCTCCACCCAGCCAGCAATGCCCATCTCCTACCCTCAGGTAAGCCCCTCCAGTCTCCATAAACGATTCTTGCAGAGAGCTTGGCACTTGTGTGGAGAAGGGGAGCCCCTGGTCCAGGTGTTGTCTCCCTCCCCCACCAGGCCTCTGCTGGGTGGCCTGGTGAGTGGGAAGTGGGAGATTAGATGACAGCAGAGCCAGTTGCACAAACTCTCAGGAAGTCCTTGGGATGGGGCTCAGGTGGGGGTGGCTGAGCCATTTATTGACTTCTCTTTTTAGATTGTGGGGTACTACATACTTGTAGTTTCAGCTTTGGGCCCTAGTCTAACTCTGTGGATGCAGGAAAAGTTGCACTCAACACCTTATTACAGCAGAATTAATATGCATTCATGAATGCGTTACACAAGCAGGTACATAGGTTGTTACCACACACTATTTTTTAATGCCAAACAAAATTAACTTCTAATTTATGCCACAAAACTCTCATGATTTTCTTATCATGACCAAATATTAATCAGTTTAATTAAGATGTGTTCCTAACTTCCAGTTCAACAAAATCATTAAAGTTAAACCTCCTCATTAAACCACCAAGCCAAGCTTGTAAATGCCCACAACCACCTGATTATGGCCTTGCCTCACCTCCCTCTGCCACTGGCCAGCCCAGCCAGCACACCGTCTCCTCAGGCCTCTCTCTTCATCCCAACCACCCACTCCCAAGCCCTGTGCCTCCTTGACAACTTCCTTGTTACTACCATCAACAGACTGTCTGATTTCGGGCCATGTGTTCTCATGCATGTCATTGGCTAGTCCTCCACCTTCATTCCTGAGGTCACCTTCCCAAGGGCTTAGCTTTTATCTCAGGATTGATGGGCACCCAGAGCTCTTGTCACGTGCTCTGCCAAGACAGTTGGTGGCCCCAGCTGAAACACGTTCTGAGGGATTGCATAGTGGCATTAAGGGCCTGTACCACAAGTCCTCAGACCAACTTCAACAGCCCCTGAAAGGGGAAGAGGGGGAACCAGTACTGATCACTTCACCCTCCACACTGCCTCTCAGTAGTGGAGGGGTTCCTGACCCCTGGAGAATAGTGGACTCTCTGGGACTGGGTGTCCAAGCACAGGGCAACGTCCGTGCACACTGGAGTGGTTGGATCATCCCAAGACCAAAGCTAGTCCCAGAACATGGTCCTTCCAAAAAGTAGTACCTCTCAGAGAAGGCCAGAGGAGACACTCTGAGATGCCACAGCTGTAGGAGGTATTTCTTCAGGAGCCAGAAAGGAGGCGGCGGTGGGGAGGTGTTTGTTTTTTGAAGAAGGGCGAGATTTTCGCCCATGAGTAGCTCGTGGGAAGGAGCGAGTAGAGAGGAGTGACTAGGGAGATGGGGCCCATGCCCAGCAGGGCACATCCAGGCACAGCAGGAGTCCCTTGACTGGGAATGGGGAAGCCCTTGGATGAGGAGACAGGCAGGACAAGATGGCCAGGGAGTGGGTATGTTTGTGGGGTAGGTGGCTGCAGGTTCTGGGAGTTACTATTGGAAGTTTCTGTTCTCACAGTAAAGTAGGACGTGAGGTCATTTCCAGGGCACTGCAGGGGAGGAAAGAGCACTATTTTCGTGGGTGCTTCCTATGTGCCAGAAACTGAAGTAAGGACTTTATTTGTGGAAGTTCATTTAATGTCCTCAACAACCTTATGAATCAGATACTATTATAACTTCATTTTACAGATGATAATACCAAGGCTCAGAAAGGTAGTATTATCTACCTAAGGTTTTTCAACCTCTTGTTTTCCCTCCTATACCCCAGCACTGATGGGGGTCAGCCTCCTCAAATGTAAATTAATGAGAGGTTGCTGGGTGGAACCAGAGGCAAGGAAATATTTTCTTCAGGTTCTCTGTCAGCATCTCTGTCCTAGACATGTCAATCACAGTACTTGCCAAGCCCACACCTGTGTCACACCTAAGTGAACATGCTTCACGTACAGCTAGGCTGAAGCCACATTCTGTGGGGCACAGCCCTTCCCTCATCCAACTCCAGCTGATTGGATCAGGTGTTGCCACCTGACTCAAGCCCAGTCAAGCCATTGGCTAATGCATGATCAATGATGTTTCCTGATGCAGACAGATGAATTAGACTAACTGGATTCTCTCTTTTGGAAATTTTAACAGGGAAATGCTGATTAAATGGCATAGTTCAACAGTGGAGAGAAGTTAAAAGAGCAAATTGAGATAACCCAGGGGACAGAATCAGGGCCACAAGGGATCTTAGTAAGGGAAAGAGATGAAGC